AGGATGCAGGACAGAAACAGGATACAGGGCCCAGGACAAACACAACACCAAGGCAGAGTCTGTGGGTCTGGCCATCCCTTAAATACCCCAGCATAATCAGTTCCAGGTGTTAGCTGGCTGCAAAGTTGAGTCTCTGATTGCTGGGAGCATCCGCTGGCCAGCCCTGGTACTGCAGATCAAAAGGCAGGTGAGTCCCCACCATTGCTGGCCAGTCCATTCCTGACAGTGTGTGTGTGTATTGATTTTCTATTTGTTTTAAAAAGGGCCCAGTAGAACCCCAGCTCAGTAGTACCCCCACTCAGCAGATCCCCAGCTCATTAGTAACTCAGTTCAGCAGATCCCCAGCTCATTAGTACCCTTGTTTAGCAGATCCCCAGCTCAACAGTACCGCCGTTCAGCAGATCCCCAGCCTATTATTCCCCTTGTTCAGCAGATCTCCTGCTCAGTAGTACCCCAGCTCTGCTAATGCCCCACTCAGTAGTACCCTCTGCTTTGCTGATCCCCCACTCAATATAACCCCCAGTTCTGCTGATCTTCCTCTCTCTCCGTTCCATGCTCACCTCCTGATATATATATATATATATATATATATCCATGCTGTGAACCACATGTGAGATTGTTAGTTTCTCCTGCTCTGGTCCCTAGCTCTGCTGATCCTCTGCTGCTCAGTCCTCTCTCTCCATTTCTTGCTCATCTTCCCCTATGTGTTCCCACTTTGTGCACCATGTGTGCTGTCTGTTAGTTGCTCTGCTCCGGTTCAGACCCTGTTCACCTTTCTGCTGCTCCACAATGCACACCAGATGTGACGTCTGCTGATGACGTTTTTCTGGGTCGCTTGCTGGTTTCACAGTGCATCCTGGGATGTCTCATATCTGCAATACCTCCAAAACAAAGAGGACTCTGAATAAATGCCTCTCAAAAGCTGTAACTGCTGTTAGCGAGCATTGTCATAGACTTCTATGCAGGCTTTGTAGACACTTGGAAGTACCAAGAGAGCAACACGGGGTATAATTTTTGAAGCAAAGCAAAGCAAACACAACAGTGTGAACAGGACTGTAACGTAACCAATGTATTTAGTGAGAAGTGCTTTGATTGGCATTCAGAGTGCCTTTAAAAAGTATGTAAAATGACACATTTGAAGTTTAAACGAGGCCTAACTGATACATCTGCAGGACTGCTTGTTCTGTTGAAAAACAGGCTTGCTGGTTGGATAACCAGGTGAAAATAAAAGGAAAAAAATATATAAATAAAACCAATGCAGCCTTCACATTTAAGAACTGTTAAACTGCAGTATAATAAATGTTTGCTTCTGGGTTTAATAGCAGTTTAAAGGAGCCTTGAGCAATATTTCGAGTCTAGACCTACTAGCCAGGCACAAACCTTACTCTCCACCAGTTGCCCCACCCAATCTTGCCCAGGTCCGCCTCCAACCCCACCCCCGTCCCATCCCCCAACCCCGTCCCCAGCCCTGCCCCCAACCACGCCCCCTTAAAGCTTATGAAATTACATTTTTCTTTAGAATAAAGAGTCCAAAATATAAAAAACTGCAATATAACATAGCTGTATTATGTCAATTTAAACATAACAGCAATAGCATAACAGCAATAGGGTGAAATCAAAATATCAAGTTTTACAGCTTTATACCTGTAGTGAACATTTTGTATTTTTTTTGTTTATCTCCTGCATCATTAAAGATACTTTTTAATATGACGATATGATTTTTGTTAGTGAGCACATATTTTCAGTTATTATTGCAGTTTTTCCTTAAACTGATTTTTGTACTTTCATATTTTTATTATTCATTTATTAAAGTCCAGTCGTATTTTAGCAGAAAATTATACAAAGAAAATCAATGTGTTTTGGAAAGATAAATAACAAGTGTCTTACAGTTTATTTTGTAGCCCTATGCTCAGAGGTATACTGCAGTATACTAAGGCCACTGAGCTCTGTGTGAGGGCAGTGCAGTGGTTTCTCTACAGTTATCCCCCAAGGCGGTGGAGAGCGGGCCTCTCATCGTGTCCCCCACGGTGGGGGAGAGCGGACCTCTCCTCGAGTCCCCTGCGGCGGTGGAGAGGGTGTCTTCTCTCGGCGGTGGAGAGGGTGTCTCCTGCACCTGTCCCCTCAGTGGCGTTGCCGAAGAAGCCGGAAAACCGGAAGTTGGAAACCAGAACTCGGCTTCACAATGAGGCTTGGAGCGCAGGTGCAGCCGCTCCAGCCATCATCTGTGCTTGCCACACAAGAATTTCTCCTCGCATTTGGCGAGCGGCTTTTTCAAGCCCTGCATTTGAATACATGGAAAATGCTGTACGTGTATTTTTGATAAAGAAAAAAAGGCACTGGACAGCATCTGGATATGGGCCAGCCCAAAAACGTGTCTAAACGCAAATGTGCATAAACGCATATATATGCATTTGATGTTTGAAACGCTGATAAACTCTACTCCTGAATGTGATTTTTTGTGCTTTCAAAAAAATGCATGTAAATGACTATGTGTAAATGGACACATAGGAAAACAAAGGAGCGTTCACGGGCTGGTAAAAAAAAAAACACACACAACTGCTCCTAAACTTCAGTTTAGCAGCTGCAGTGTAAATGAGCCCTAAATCTTTGTAAAACTGTCTAATAAACTGAAATAAACACCTATTAACTGACTGCAGTTCAACACCTTGGATAGTTTTACATCAAACACATTTTTTTAGTCTGCCTACAAAGTAAACAGAACATTGGAAAATCTTTTTTTTTTTTTTTAAACCAAGATACTGAATAATTCAGTCCAGACAGACTATCAAATTAAGAAACAATGTAGCATTCCTGGGGTCTTCAGAATAGGTAATAGGTAAATGTACACAATTTTGAGATGAACCACCAAACTAGGTACCGTAGTTCAAAACATAAATGGATGACAGGAGTTTTAACCTTTATTCATCTCAGTGCTGCTGGACTTGCTCCTTTTATTACATTTTCCTCCCTTTTTTTTTACCGCTCACCTTGTAAAGCTTATATATATATATATATATATATATATATATATATATATATAAAATTGTATTATCTGAGTTTACAACAGAGTCCATTCTGTATCACAGCATAGACAAGAAATGAACACATGCGCAGATATTCTGGACCTTTACTGGTTCCTATTAGAATTGTTGAAGTCTAAATAGTCCCGAATTCAACAGATCAGGCCACAAAGACTGACAAGGTTAAGGCAGGCTCCATCTGTAATCACAGCTATGGCGGAATCAGGCATACATAAGCGGTGAAGGAAAAACACCTTTTTCCTTTGTTTGAAAACTCTTACCCATTTAATTTTTTGTTTACTCACAACCTAACCAATTAATAAAAGCAACACTGTATATGTAGATGGCCTACCTGAAGAGACAACAACATTCTGAGCTGTCAAGTGTACCTTTAAATGCAAGAGCTCCAATAATACACTTTGCTCCCAGCTATTGTTAGCATCTGTGCTTCCTTATCTTTATGGGTTATTAGGTGTAATGATAGTTGCTAAACTGGTATTTTAACTTGTATTACTGAAAAGAACACATCTCTTTCTCTGCAAACCACTCCTCTGTTTAAACACGAAATATACAATATTCTTGATCTTCTTTTAAACAGAAACACCAGATGCTGGAAGGGAGACAAGTTCAGGTCTACAGAACAATAGGAGACAATTTCAGTGCAGGCAGTGAAAGAATATGCCGAGATGTGATAAATGGGTTTTATTCCCTCTGTATTAAAACTCGTTGATATTCCAAAGAAATAGGTTAATTATGCTCAGTTGGTACAATGTTAATACAGTTTTTTTTTTAATACAAAAAAATAATCTTTGTGCATGCAATTAAAAAATGACTAATTGTCTTTCCAAGCATTCTGTTTAATTATTTATAACATAATCTGCTTGAACTCCGGTATATTTTTAGCAAGGTAAACCCATTTCAAATATACTATTGTATATACCAGGGGTGGGCAACTGTGGCCCTTCAGCTGTTGTAGAACTACAAGTCCCATGAGGCATTGCAAAACTGACAGTTACAAGCATGACTCCCAAAGGCAGAGGCATGATGGGACTTGTAGTTCACCAACAGCTAGAGGGCCACAGTTGCCCACTCCTGGTATATACCTTTAAGATATTCAAGACACTGCTCAATGCTCTGTTCCCTCTGCATTTTTAACTGCAAATGTGGTTTGCCACGGAGTCTGCCCTTAATCATGCTGTCTCATTAGTGGCTCCTTTCACGCTTAGGCTAGGTTCACACATGTGCAGTTTGTGTTCGTGCCGTTTCTGTATTGCGTTTTGTGCCTGCATTTTTGCTGCTTTTTTTAATGTATTTATGTTTATTTTTCTTGTTTCTAGGCAGATTTAAAACGCAAAACACATTAAAAACATGGCAAAAACGCATCAAAAATATATTACATGCTTTTCGGCAACGTTTCCATTGAAGTCTGGAGAACTAAAAATGCAACTTTTTGCGTTCAAAAAAAGTCCCTGACCTTTTCAAAAGATGGGCTGGGTAAAAACGTGGAGATGTGAATGTGCCCCATAGGAAATCATGTTAAATGGACTGTAGTGCATTTCTGCAAACCGGAAAATGCTGCAGAAAATGCTTGGGTGTGAACCTAGAGTAAGAGATGAATGGAGCCCATCACTTGCTCAGGGTAGCCTGACTGAGTGCAAAGAGAGCTCAAGGTGTCAAAGGATGTGAGCTTGGTGACCTCTGCTTCCCTAAACTAGACTTAAGTGGAAAAAGTGAATATTTGCTTTCCTATAGGGAATATCTAGAAGTGTTAACAATAGTGTAGCAATAGCCTGAAACTGTACCTTCTGTCTGTATTTCCTCCTCAAAGTGATTGTAAATGCATTTTTTTCCATTAAAATAACAAACATGTTAGAGCAGCCCTGATCCTCCTCTTCTTGGGTCTTCCACTGGTGCTGCAGGCTCCTCCCACTGCTGACTGCCCCCATAGCAAGCTGCTTGCAAGCAGCATGCAGGTTTTTTTATACCTTGAGGGCTAGCTCACACTACTTGCAGTGCAGTTGCTTTTTTTCTGCATCCAAAACACACAGAAAGTAGGTTATATGGTTGTGAATGTCATAGTTCACATCAGTGCTTGCAGTTTCAATGTGTTCCGGGTGCAGAAAAAAAAAATAGAACAGGCTGCATTTTTCCTGCACAGAACTGCACTGGAACATGGTAAAATGCATCAAAAACGCTCTGGAATGCACTGGAACGCACCAAAAACGCTCTGAAATGCATATGTCCCTATTTAAATTGAAGAAAAAGAGATGGGGAAAAAAGAAACAAGAAAGCATCAAAAACACACAAGAACGTGTCAAAAATACATAAAAAATGCACCAGAACGCACCAAAAATGCACATGTAGAAACTCACCCGGAACGCATCTGGACTGCATTATTATGTGAACCAACCCTATGGGCTAGTTCACATTAGATGTGCTTTTTTTCTGCATCAAAAATGCATGCACAGTGTTTTCCATGTATTCCAATGGCCCTAGTTCACACCAGTGCAGTCAGTTCCAGTCAGTTTCCAGTGCAGAAAAAAAAAAAAGTAGAACATGCTGCATTGTTTCAGCACAGAACCATACAGGAACATGGCAAACTGCACCGGAACAGAGTGTGGTATGAACTGTAAGCAAAAACGTATCCTAAATGCATCCGGAGTGCATTTTTTGTGGCGTGAACTGGCTCTAAAGGAGGCAGCCACTGCTCTCTGCTCAGAGTGGCTGTGAGAACTCAGATCAGCAGTCATGCGAGTTCTCACCCTAAGAGCTGGCAAGGGGCAGATGCAGCAATGGGCTGATGCTACATCCACCTAGGTAAGCAGAACTTGGGGAAGCAAACAAACCCCATACGTTTTGTTTAGCCTGGGTTCACACTTGTGCAGTGCGGCATATTACATGTGATTCACACAGGAACCGCACCGCATCTCTGTGTAAATCACATGTGAATTCTGTGCGGTGCAATTTGAGCCACACATTTTGTATGGCTCAAATCGCACTACAAAAGCGCAGGACCCTTTTTTTGGTCCGCACTAGAATCGGACTGCATGGGTGAGAGCAGCTAGGCACTTCTAAACGTACAGCCTTGTAGATGTATATTTGTAGTGTGACCTATGACTCCATGCATCCGGAGTGATGTCACAACCCACAATAAACCCCTGAAGTTTCCAAGATGGAGATCTGCATAGAGAAATTTAGTCCACAGGCAATACTGGAGACTAGTCGCTTCCCTGCTGCCTTGCATTTTCTGCAGAAGTCAGTTAAAAAAAAAAAAGGATTTTTAGATTGTAAGCAATCTAGGTCTATTTTTTTGCCTACAATCACTGAACAGCAGTGTGCTTTTCTTCCAGGGACAGTCATGGGTTTTGGACATTTTTTTCTCAAAACTGAGAGCTACAGAAATCACTTTTTTTGTGTTGGGAACACATACTTGAATATATTTTTTTTAAACCAGCATTTAGTGTCACTTTAATAAAAGTTGTTGCTTTTTTAAGTAAATTTGCTGAAAAAAGTGCAAAAATATATATTTTAACCTAAGAAACCTGTAATAATATGCCAGCTTTGCAGCAAATATTCCTAGAAAGCAATTTAAATTGCTGGCAACTATATTCCATACATGCTTGTATGTTCAGAACACGCCTGTGCCAACTGAACCAAACAAAATAAAAAAAAAAAAAATAAATGAGTTTAGATTGTGCATGAACATCTTAGAGTGGTCCCATATTTATGACACGCTTACGATCACAGCTAACACATGCAAATGTCTCCTTTTTTTGATACTCAGGGCTTCCTAAGAAAAGAAACTGCTCTGATCAAAAAGGCTTGGATTAAAGAACATTAACAGATTCAGTGACCGAGCAGCTTTTGCATACAGCTTTTGCATCACTGCTTTTGAAAACAAACATCGATCTGACCCCACTAACGGTTAGAAAATCAAACAAATTTTCTTGAACAAAATCTATATATGTATGGCCAGCTTACGTTTTTTGGTCTCTGACCTATGAAATCCTAATAATGGAAAATGACAGAGCCCTGGACAAACTTACCTGAACCTGTACTTTGCACATGCTGGGCTAGTAAGTTCACATATTGGCAGGGACCTTAGGGAGCATGTCATTTCCTTCCCTGTTATATGTGTTCCTCCAGCCCCCACATAATAAAGAGTTCGGATCTGGCAGCCAGCTGCTTAGATACTAAGTGCTGCATCGTGAAGAAATGCTGCATGTTTTCAGATATTTCTCCAGGGGCCTGATGCCAGGGAGCACAGGGATGCTATACGTGTACAGATTCTACCAGGGCAAAGTGACAATGTCCTTCTATAGTGCAACCTGCTTCTAGGTACTGGGAAAATGTGACATTCCGTTGACATTCATGGGTCTAGCAATCAAATGTCTAGGCCAAAGCACTGACATATGATGGAGGGGTGATGTCAATGTTCCATGTAACCTCTTCCCATTGACATTCAAGGGTCTAGCAATCAAATGGCTAGGCCAAAGCACTGACATACGATGGAGGGGGGTGATGTCAATGTTCCATGTAACCTCCTCCCATTGACATTCATGGGTCTAGCAATCAAATGGCTAGGCCAAAGCACTGACATACGATGGAGGGGGTGATGTCAACGTTCCATGTAACCTCCTCCCATTGACATTCACGGGTCTAGCAATCAAATGGCTAGGCCAAAGCACTGACATATGATGGAAGGGTGATGTCAATGTTCCATGTAACCTCCTCCCATTAACATTCATGGGTCTAGCAATCAAATGGCTAGGCCAAAGCACTGACATATGAAGAGGGGGGTGACGTCAATGTTCCATGTAACCTCCTCCCATTGACATTCATGGGTCTAGCAATCAAATGGCTAGGCCAAAGCACTGACATATGATGGAGGGGGTGATGTCAATGGTCCACCTAACCTGCGATACAGATGAGACAATGAACTCCAAGCAGGAGTGGCACAAGATCGCTGCTAAGGCGAGTATACCTGGGATGGGGGCCCTTTAGAAAGACACTGTCACTTTGCCCAGAAAAGGCAAACTGACCATGTCTTTTTAATGTGATCCCATCACCAACATCGCATTGCAACATCAGGTTAGTGTGAGTAGACAAATATGCAGTGTTGCTCCAAGCCAGACAGCCCAGAAATGACCCTGTGGGTACACAGAACAGCAGGAGCCGGTGTCCCAATACTAATCCAGAAGCAGGAGTAATGAAAGGAGATGGACACTGCTCAAACCAGCCCAGTCAGGTCGGTATATGTATCAGGTTTCAGTGGTCTTTTTAAATCCATATCAAATGTCTCATTGTCCAAATGCCTCATAAATGTTTTCGTAAACATGTTTATTACAGGTGAAATCTGATCTGATGGCTGCCACCTTTATAACTGTGATAACATTAGACCCAGCAGCTGCAGAGCCATCACTCTAGTAACCCCTTGGAGCAATCCTGCGCACTTGCAGAGTGGCATTTGTCAAGTCACAATCTAGTGGCCTGTCAAAATGTGCTTTATATTCGAGTTTCCACGACCATACCGCACCCTCTAACATTTAAAATAGTCCTCTTAGAACCAGGAGGCACCACAAATAATTGTGGTGTTTCTGTGCAAGTTGGGCTGGAGATGCTATTAATATTCTAGGATGCGCTTCCTGGCACATGAGCAGAAATCAGAACCCTGAAGATGGGCTTTGGAAATTCCACATAAAGTACATTTTAAATTAAATTATAGTGTATTTTCAGTAAGCCCATATTTTGAGTTCTAATTCCAGTGTTTACCTAAAAATATAATGTGGCCTTAGATTCTATGTTTGCCTGTGTTTCCCCAGGCAAAAATGAAACGCTCTTATTATGCAAGTTTATAAAAAAATATGGCCATTCACATTATGCACCTTTTTCTTACCCCTAAATTACTACAAAGAAATGAATGATCACAATGTTACCTAGACACTAGTTCAAGTGCCAGGCCGACTATTCAGCCACTAATCAAATGGCTGAGCCCCCAAGTCAATACCCGGAAACTGCTTTGGCAACACTGGGCTGCTCTTCCCCTTGCGCACTTTGTCAGGGAATGCCAGGGAAGTGGAGTCCGGGGTGGCTACATCACTTGTCCTGTTGTCAATGCTCGGGGAAATTTTAGTCTGCAGTTCATCAGGGAACAAATGCATACAAGGAACACATAGAAAAGGAAAGTTTTTTGTAGATTTAAAGAAGAATGAAAAAAACACCATAGGATGATAAAGCAATCCTAGAGGTACCATGTGGACCATTTGTGACATGGTGACTTTTCCATCTATTTTAAGTTCGCCACACAGAATCTTGACTTTCATTTAATTAAATCTGTAAGATTAACACAAATTAATGATAACATTCCAATGCAAGGGTCGACCTGGATAGAAATGGAATGCTTTAGGTGGTATGTAGAACTACAGTATTATGTTTTATAGTGTTTAGTATTGTATTGTGTCAGCTACACAGGTAATCTTGCCTAATTGAACATAGTTAAAGGATCACCTTTCTAGAAAAAAGTAAATGCACTTTTTTTTTTAAAGGTAAAATTAGCAGATTGCAGGTTGTCAATCTTAGACTCCTGCAGACTATCAGTGTATTTCTTCATTTGTACCTGGTACAGACAGGCAGTTATAGCATGAGTGAAAGACTCAATGAACTACCCAGAGTGCTCACTAGCACCCTGGTAGTTCATTGAGAACTACAAGCCGTAAGCTGCAAAGGATGTTGGTACTTGTAGTTAATTTATTCACAGATCTCTATGAATGAATGACACGGTCGTGTGGACAGAGCCCTGCAAATGTCAAATTGTGACAGTGGTGTGGGGAGAAGAACCTCGGCGTGCTGTCACAATTGGGGGGGTTTGAGATGATCAGCAAGAGGCTGTGGGAGTGGGAACATGTTTCATATAACATGTTCCCAAAGGTGAACTTATCCATTAACACATCTAAGAAAAGCCTAACCTGTGTGACCAGGGTGGCAACCTGATTCTAAACCATATTTTCAGGGGGAAGGGGGGTTAATTATTTATTTATAAGAAGATACAACAAGGTCACAGATATATCAGTAGAAACTGGTATGGATAATGTGTTATGAGTGTACAATATCATATCCATACAGGTTATTGATCATACCAGGTCTCTATGTATAGAAATAGGTCAAAATTATCGTTACAGAGCATGGTTGATCGTGCAGTCACAGTGCATCCAGTATCAAAGCATCAAAGCGAGAAGGTGTTGTTGTATATTGCTGGAACTTACTCACTGAAACTTTTTTTCTATAACTTATAACAAA